AGGTGGAGGTTCAGTCCCCACCTCACCAAGTGAACCAGATAGCCAGAAGGAGGAGTTGGGTGTGCCAGGTGGCATCTAACTCTGATTAAACTCTAGTTTATGATTCTGCAAAACGAGAATGTGGTGGTCTGGATTAGGGTGAGAAAAATCCTCTTCTCACAATTTGCTAATAATTGATCCAGACAAACACATTGCAGACCCTGGTCGAGTTGGCGAATCAGACACAGTAGATCCGGTCAGCAGCTCTTTAGAAAACCTCCTGCTATTAGTCCTATTTCGTTTCATTTGGTAACTTCAGGAAATAATCCCCGAATTTGCAGAGGGTTCCTAAAAGAGCATTCTGTATGAGGCACCGTCACCTATTTCCTGTGAGTCCAAAACACCTGAAGTTTTAGTTGGTGACAGCAGTTTCTTGTACCCGCCTAGAGAGTGTGTCTTTGCATTTCCAGTGTCTGGCTTTCCTTGATTCCCAAGCAGCCAGTGCAGCGTTATTGCTCCCAAGTGATCGTGGCTGAAGGACAGGATTTGGCATCTGGTAGATTTGGGGGTTCTTCTGAATTAAAGACTGAAATGATGGTAAATCATTTAAAAACGGCTTTTTTTTTTTTTTTTTTCTGACTTGTTATGTTGCTCATTCTCTGTGGTTTAGTGCAGATGTGACTCTGTCTTCTTGCACTGCATGAAAATGCTTTCATATTCTTTGCTACACATGTAGAAAAATAATGCTCCATCAGGACTGTGCTAAGAGGCACAGTGGCTCAGGCTGGTCAGAAATAGTGCAGCCAGACAAGTGTTTATCAACTGTTTTTAAACAAAGCTCACATAGTCTTTTGAAAATAAGAATTGGCTCGGACCATTACACAGTATTGCTGGGACGATTTCCACTTGCAACTAATCAAAAATGAGTCTACATGCCAATAATTTATTTAATGTCTTTATTTCCTCACAAGTTCATTTTCTTGGGTGTGATGGGGATGTGTGTGTGTCCTTAATTTATTGCTTCTGTGCAAGTGTCATCTTGACTGCCTTCTGATGCTCTGTGAAGTCTGGAAAATGGTCATTGAATAGGGTGATGTGCTGTTAGGCTTTGACATCAGCCATGCCCAACACAAGAAGGATCTGGCATTGGCCCTGTGAATTAACAGGGACACGCAGGGCTGTCACGGAGACAGGGAAGAAAGGTTTTCCATAGGCAGGGGATGGCTGTGCAAAGAAGACGTAATAAAAAGCTCGTGGCGAGCTTTGCCATCTTTGGAACGAAATTAGTGAAGATTAAAAAAAGAAAAATATTTCCATTTTCGCAACCTCAGAGACAGCTCTCTGTGGGCAACCCTCACACCTCCCTGCGCTCTCTGGCCCCTATTTCAATTGAGGAGTTGTCTGTCTCCTGGGGAGCAGTTTCAGCTCAGGGGGCAGAGAGCCCCTTCTCCCCTCTGAGCTGCTGCCTGCCCCCTCTCCCTTCCTGAGGCTGTGCCACTCCCCAGGCACCCAGCCTCCCAGTCCTGCCTGGCTCATTTCCCTCTTTATTCCTTACATTCAAGGTATCACTTAATTTTCTGCCTTGACATTTACAGTCTGCACCCCCTTTTCCAGCCCTTTGGTTAAAAGGCTTTATCCAAGCCGTCGTCCTTCAAAGATGCTGAGGAAACTCAAAAAACGGTGTTGGTTCTCAGCTCAGAGTGGCGTAAATCAGTAGAAAGAGCACTGAAGGCAGCAGGGAGACAAACAGAGAAGAAATCCGGCTTCACAGCTTCAAACTGCTCATTTTCCCTGGTTCGTACTGCCATCTCCACAGATCCAACAAGATGGCATAGGAAATCAATATTCATTTGATGTGTTGTGTTTCTTCGTTGTTAAGACTCCTCCTTCTGCTGAACGATACATACTTTTTCCTGTAGTCAGGGAAATACTTGGACGTGTTGTCAAGAATCACTGGGACTATACAACCACACAAGACTTCGATATTTTTAGTGTTATTTCTGACATATCCTGGCCAAATCTTGCTTGCTTTAATCATGAGTACACCCCCTTTGATGAGGTTGAGCAGAAAGGCAATGGCACCACTCATATATGAAAACTAAGTTTGCTCGGCAGCTTATTTTGTCAGTTAAGGTAAGAGTTGATTTCTGCCTGATAACAAAATTAATCTATTATCAGAGAAGAGGCCCATGCCTTCTTCAGGCCCTGTTTCTGAACCGCAGCTGAAAAAGTTAGTGACTTTCTAATTTCGTTTTGCAATGTCATGTTTATTACTATAAAAATGAGATGTACTTAATGACCAGATGTCTTCCTTACGAGTCTGCAGCAATGCATTTATTAATGCTAAAAATGTTTATATTCTGGTCATGTCGCAGAGATTTCATCTGAAACTCTTAAGACTTTTTTTTTTCCCCTTCCTGTTTTTTCCCTCCTTTTTTCCTTTTTTTTTTTTTTTTTTTTTTTTTTTTTTATGTTTAATGTTCTTTTGTGTGTATGTTTTTTAATCTTCTTGCTTCTTTTTTCCTTGTTCCCCTCTTCTTCTTTTTTTTTTTTTTTTTATTTTTCTTTTTTCCCCCCATTTTTCTTTTCCCCCGGTATCAGGATTCCCCTCGCAGGAGGATATTTAACTCGCTCAAGACCTGATAACACGCACCCCCCTTGACCCCCGCAGATGAACACGCAGTTCTGCCCCCTCCGCCCGCTCCTCTCGGGTGTCCGTGCGAGCCCACGGGAGGCAGAGCCCCGGTGGGGAGGGCGAGCGGCTGCTCTGTGTGTGCGTGTGTGTGTCCATCCCTCCCCGGGGATGCAGATGCTGCCAGGGCGGTGCGGGACACGCCGAGGGTCCTTTCCACCCCCCGGCGCCCATCGGTGGGGCCATGCGTGGGAATGATGCTGCCCTCTCCTGGGGGGATGCGGGGAGGCCGGCAGCGCCGCCCCTGCCCCCCTGCCTGCCCGCCCCCCTGCCTG